CACTCTAGTGTTTAATCATCTTCCACCTTCAAATCACGAATGACAGAATTACCAATCTAATTCTTCAGGTGTAAGAAGATTGAACAGGGGCTGCTGTTGTACCCTAAAATTTTCCCTCTCATTTCTCAAGGGATCACCCTGGATCCCATGTTTGCTTCTATCAAGTTTCTAAGCCTTGAACTATAAATTTTCCAAGAAAAACCACTCACAAGGGCAAAATGGTCATTTGCATGCTGAAAAGTGAAACTTTGATTTTTGGATCAAAATCAAGCTTCAAGAATCATATTTCATCAATACACGTTGAAATATGAAGTTTTGTTTCATCAAAACCCAAAAAGTCAAAATTCTAAATACTTAGAATTTTTTCTAAGTGTTTAAGAAAATATGACAATTTCAGAACTTCTGACCAGATTATCACCATAACACACAACAAATTCTGGACACTCTCAAGGCAGAGTTTGGTCAGAACTTTTGGGCAAGTTTTCACAAAAAGCTTCAGTCAGAGGTTGCAAACATGGTTCAGAACATGACGCTTTAATCAGAACATGTGGAAGCAATGTTCTCCTTCAGAACATGCTGGAGCCAGAAGATACAAAGATCAGAGGATGGATGCTACGCTGAAGCAGAACTTCTGATCCAGAACTAAGCCATGGTGTAGAATCTCACGTTACAGGATTTTTGGTTGTGATAAGTCTCATCATCATTTAATGCTCACAACTACTTTCTGAGTCTTTATCCAAAGTATTTTCACACGTGTACCCTTACTGCCTTGGGAAGACAAGCTTTTGTGCAAAAGTATGCTAAGCCCATGCGCTGCTTCTACTTTTCCTTAATTTATGCTGACAAATCCAGCTTAGGCGCTACTAACCATCCTACTTGATGCATTGAACTATGCTTGTTTAAGCTTACTTCAAGAGTAAATCAGCTTCTAGCATATGACGTTGGCGCCACTTGACATCTCCAAACTGCAAAACCTTTGCCTATAAATAGAACACCATTGGCCATTGAGAAAGGGAGGTGGGGGAATTTGAGAAAGAAAAGAGCTTAACCCCTGCTAAAATTCCAAGGGTCCAAAAGAGAGAAGAGGAAACAGGGACAACATTCGCAAATCCAAAACAAAACCTTTTGCTCCCCCCATTTGAATCAAAGAACACAACCACTCTTCTGTCACTTTCGCTGACACTAGAACATCAAAAGGCAGCAACTCAAAGCTCCAAGCACGTTCCGGGTCCAAGGTAAGTCTTTCTGACTTTGCTTATTTTTCATTATGAACATCATTAACATGTAAATATCCTAGTATTAATGTTGTACATACCATTGCATGAATAGAAAAACTATGGATCAGAACTTCTTGGTTAGGACTAGACTCAGATTTAGGATTAGAACTTCTATAAACTATTGTGTTGTTATCCTTCTGACTTGCTGATTGTTGAAAACTGAATAAATTGTTGATGTGTTAATTAAGAGTTGAAATATGGCATAAAACTTCTGATGTTCATTCATAGTTTTAACATACAAAACTTCTATGATTTTCTTACTGCTAAACATACACAGAACTTCTGAATTCTCTTTACTGTTTTAACACACAGAACTTCTATGATTTTCCTCACTATTAACACACACTGAACTTCTGATTCTTACATGCTGATAACGCACATAACTACTGATGTTCACTCACTGGCTCAGCACAATACATAGCTTCTGATGATTCACTCACTGTTTTAACACATCACAAAACTTCTGAGTTCTTCTTACATGTTAAATACATTGAACACTCAGAGTTTCTGATTTTTACATGCTGATAACGCATTGAATTGCTGATATCTCTTCACTTTTTTAGTGTAATACATAACTTCTGACTTGTGGCCCACTGTCTAAATACCATCCAGAACTTGTGTTTGTCCTCTAACATTTCTTGTAGGACCTCCGATTTTACCAATCCAGAACTTCTAATTCCACTGACGTCTCCTGCTGAGTCACATCGCTCTTGGCTTCAGAACTTCTGATCCTAGTTGTTCTTCTTGCAGCAGCACGCTGTTTCTATCTTGCATTTATTTTTCTTTTCATCATTTTTAATATTAACATAAAAAACATAAAAATATTTTCCTTTTAATTTATTTCCTTAAGACAAAAACATTTTCTAAACAAGTCCATTTCTTTCTTATATTATGCATTTCAATATGGTTGTAATAGATAATTAGGACTTAAATTCCTTGCAATCCCCATTCGTAAATATGTACCCTCATCCCCAAAATATTATAATAGCATAGGACTTTACATTTCTGCAATTTATCGTTTTTGAATGCAAATGCTAGTAATTAGGGTGTGTATGGAAAGACATGAAATTGACAAATAGATCACCCTAATTAAAGATTAAATGCATGAAAATCAAACATACTTGCACACTAGCACCTATAGGGTGATTCCACTTGTTGCCTTACGAAAATGGCCATGTTATGCACGTGGGATGTCTTAGCACAAATAAAAAATACAAGATCATAGTTCCTCGATGACGCTATCAAAGTTGCCTTTCAAAATGATCTTAGTCCTTAAAAGAAAAGTTCTAAGTCATCTCACAACATTGCTATCATGGTCATACGATGACCCAATGCCTGTCCCTTCACATCCAACGATGGGGCTTCTTACCAAAACAATGGTAAGATAGCAACGTCTAAAGGAGAAAGAAAAAGAACACCTAAAGAACTTTTGAGTAGGTAGAATGCTCCTAATTACTTGCTCAATTTCAAAATAAACATCCTTTCTACTTTCATAAACAAACACTTTCAAAAACACTTTCAGAACACTTTCTAAACATGGAATATTTTCAAAAGCTCAACACTTTGTATACGTTCTTACGAACGAGGACTATTACAAAGTTTGCCTAAACGATAGCACCTTTTCAAAATACTTTCAAAAAACACACAAATCACATTTTCAAACAAAAGCAAGTGATCTAGCGAGTAACTAAGAGCCCATGGAAAACCATGGATGAAAAGGGTGCTAATACCTTCCCTTTTCATAATCTACCCCCCGAACTCAAGAAAACATCTCTAAAGGTCTTTCCTGTGCTTTTTCACCTTTCCTTATTGGATAAAAGAAAAGTCGGTGGCGACTCTTGCTAAACCGCCACATTTGCAAACACAAACGCAAAACACCTCAAGTCAGTTCTCCCACCGTATCACACCAGGTATGAAGAAAGAGATTGCAGAATTTGCATATTCTTGTTTGATTTGTCAGAAGTCGAAGATTGAACATCATAAGCCATCTGGTTTGATGCAACCATTATCTATTCCTAAATGGAAATCAGATAGCATTTCTATGGATTTTGTGTCTGGTTTACCTAGAACACCAAGTAATTTTGAGGCTATTTGGGTTATTATGAACAAATTGACTAAAACTACTCATTTTATTCCGATGAGAATGTATTATCCGATGAAGAAGCTTGCAAAGTTGTACATTGAGAGGATTGTAGGATTGTAAGTTTGCATGGTATTCCGTCTAGTATTGTATCGAATAGGGATACAATACTTACTTCTAGATTTTTGGAAGGTTTGCAGAATGCTTTGGGTACGAAGTTGTGTTTGAGTTCTGCTTATCATCCACAAATAGATGGTTAGACTGAGAGAACGATTCAGTCACTTGAGTATCTTTTGGGAGCTTGGTATAATTACTTGCCTTTAATTGAAGGAAATGTACGGTACACTGAGTTTCCACTAAAGACGGATGACGATTTAAAGATTATGTGGAACACTTTTCGATGATACTCTACTAAGGGTCTGATTGAATTGGATGCAAAGATTCAAAGATCCGATGAAGATGTTATCAAAATGTTGCAAGTTCTCAGTTACCCGTTTATAACAATGTGTAATGTTAAATTTATGCTTCAGTATCTATGTAATTTCGGCTTTCAATGTTAAATTTATGTCATTGCTTATGTAATATCTATGTACTATCAATGTTTTAATATCTATATTATATCTACATAAATTTCTATTTCAAGATTTCAGTTTTGTTGAAATCAATCAGTGTCTATTTCGGAAATGTATATCAGAATTATAGCATTGGGTATTTTCAAAAATACATCTTCAATTCATCCAAAAAAATTAAATTTTGTAACTTCGATGGTACATCTCTGAAATCACCCAAAAAAAATGAAATTCGGTGCGTTCGGAGATACATCTTTGAATTTTGGGGGTAAAAACGGAATTTCGCCAGAGGTGGCTAAGAAGGTATAAGGGTGGGGAAAGAAATTCCCACTATTAAATATAGGGGTATTGGGATAAATCTAAGGATATCGAGTAAAAATTTCTCTAAAGGGAATTTCTTTCCCCGCCCTTATACCTTCTTAGCCACCTCTGGCAAAATTATGTTTTTACCCTCAGAATTTAGAGATACATCTTCGAACGCATGGCATTTTATTTTCAGAGATGTATTGCCGAAACACTTTTTTTTCAAAATCAGGGGTGTTTCAGAGGTTCATCTCCAAATTAGAGGATTACAGTAACAAATACGAACAACCACCCCTCATTCTCATTTCTTCCAACTTCTAACTATCAAACACCCTAAAAACATCCAAAATCTCTACTTTCAAAACTCATTCAAGTTTGTCTACTTATTTTAACTTGTTACAACTCACTCCAACTCTCAGTTTCAACATATTACAACAACTCTAAAAGTTTCAAATTTGAGTAAGTTCTCCAATTCCTTTTAATATTTGAATTTCTATTTTAAGTTCCTTAGATTATGTATGACTTGTAAAAAGCCCACTTTAAGTGTAAAAATGGGATCTTAGTGTAAGAATGGTGTTGTTAGGTTGAAGATTTAGTTATGGAAGTCGTAGGTTTTTTCGGAGATACATCTCTGAAAACCCCTCTGAGGAGTTTCATAGATGCATCTCTAAAAAATGTCCTAGGTTTATTTTTATTTTTTAATTTTCAAACATCTTCTTATTCGTTCGCTTACCTTTGATTTGATTAATGATCATTTGTTTTTCCAGAAACATGATAGAGAACCCTAACAAATTGAGACTTGGTAGGCATAACCAAACTGCATCTGCTCGACAAGAGGGAGCTGAACAAACTACGAGGTGTCGAGGACACAGTCAAGTACCGCGGGAGGAAGTGGATGGAACATCAAGTTCTACTTTGAGGAGTCGCCTTTCAAGTGCATCCTTGTCTAAGGATTACGAGGAGGAGGAACCCGAGCGGGTTCAGGTTTCGGAACCCAAAATGGTTAATGTTCCGGAATCCGAGGATGAGGCTAACCCAGGTTTTGCAAAAGGGCCGTATGACACCTCCCTCTTGATCTGTCACACCGATCATGTCGCTCGATATGTTTTAGAGGGACATATATATATATATATATATATATATATATATATATTAATTTTCGTCACACTTTTCATTTTAATGATTTACACATTAATATGTTAAAATTGATATTAATTATTTATCTTTACAGGAAGAACGACCACTAAAGTGCGTTAACCACGCACAAAAGATATCCGACCTGTATCACCCTGATGAGGATTGGTTTAAAGAGACTATTTTTGCCTCCATACTTGCCAGCCTTTGTTGTTCCGGTTATAGCACCATCAACTACGACATGCAGGGGGCATTTGTAGAGAGGTGGCACAAGGAGACATCATCTTTCCACTTGCTTGTAAGGGAGATGATGATCACACTTGATGACGTCGTATGCCTTCTACACCTTCCTATTAGAGGGAGGTTACTTAACCACTCCCGGATTGATCATAATGATGCGATTGAATGAATGGTCGACTATCTAGGAGTTGAACCATAAGAGGCATTTAAGCAGTGTTCCTCCACTATGGGGCTCATGCCAAGTTCTCATTCCTTAAAGAGTTATATCACCAGCATCTCTCTGCGGCAGCTGATTCTCAATCAGAGGGAGATAACTTCTTTGTTCTTTATCACCGTCAGTGTGCTTTGAGATGTTACTTCATGTTCTTGGTTGGAACGTCCATTTTTATGGACAAAAGCGCCAACTACGTGGATGTAGAATACCTTCAATACTTCATGGATTTGGATACAATCAGGGAGTGGAATTGGGGGGTAGCTGTTTGGTATATCTGTACCAAAAGTTGAATGAAGCCTCTAACTGAAGGATACAACAATTAACAGAATCTGCTACACTGCTGACGATAATTATCATTCCAGCTATTAAATTTAATTTACTATTAATAACTATAATTTGTTCTTACATGAATCTTATTCATTTTTCAGGGCCGAATCATTTCACACTTCCATCGAATCCATGGTTTCGATTATGCTTTGGATTATATTGAGGGCATGCTGAGGGCTGCTTAGTATGCCCCCACAGAGGGAACCAGATTGTACTACCGTTTCAAGTGTATTTGGATAAGACTATCCATGATGCCATCCTATGGACGCCGTTCAAGGATCACCGAGAGATTATCCAGGTCGAATCCATCCCACTGTACTCTGGGTGGCGGACATGTGGGACTAAGACTATGATCGAGTATCTGCTGGAGCGATACATGCGGTAGTTTGGCTATGTGCAAACCATACCCAGATGTCCCTTTTAGGCTGCTCCCGACACCATTGTCCGTCGGGAGCTCGATGACATATTTCAGGACTGGGAGCATCATTTGGTGCCAAAGGAGTGTCAGGTGATGCAGGCATCCAACAATTGACATTGTATTGAGGGATACGTGACATGGTTTTACACAGTGTCACATCTTATCATGACACTGAATGCTCCTGGACGTCCACTTATGCCAGCTCATAAGGAGATCTTAGAGAACCAACAGGCTAAGGATGACCATGCCATTGATCTCTTGTCGATCTGTCAGTAGATACAAATGATTAGGCAAAGAGGCTTTGGGCATATGTATCATTGACCGAGGCGGTCCTGAGGCAGTGACCATTGTAGAGCAGATAGTTGGGGAGGCAGAGAGTGTAGCAAGATACAATAGACAAAGGAGGGGTCAGGGAGTGAGGATCAGGCATACACGATAAGCTATGTTTTTTTATTTAATTTCAGAACAATTTATGAATAATTCTTGTATTATTATTTTTTATTTTAAACAATTTATTGTATTATCGTTTTTCATTTGCGTTTTTATTGTATTATCGTATTATTGTATTATCGTTTTTTTTATGTCTTATCATTTTTCATTTGCGTTTTTATTATCGTTTTTATCTACTTATTTATCAACATAATAATGATTTAAAAAAAAATATCACTGTCCAGGATTTCGGAGATGCTTCTTCGAAAGAATCGAGTCATTGTGTTTAAAGACGCATCTCCGAAAATAGCATTGCATGTTTAAATATAATGTTTAAGTCCAAACAGATTATTTTCAGAGATGCATCTCCGAAACATCCTGATTTATGATGCTTTCAGAGATATATTTCCGAAAAATATTTTCAGGTTTTCAAATATTTTCCCCCACCCATACAAAATGTACAAAGAAATTCTAAATCAAAATTTGAACTTTGAAAAGGCCCATAATTTTTTTAAAGAGCCCATCGTTATTATTCAGCAGACTAGGTTTTTTTCCCCCACAATTAATACAAAATTTAAAACCCTAAAAAAAAAAAAATCAACAGCTTCATCAAAACAACAATTTCTTCGTTTTGCACTCATATATAAACAAGCTCGAGTTACAGAACTCAACTACCGCACAAGGCAGCGCGGCTTCATCGTCGGTCATCGGAAACTGTGAGTAGCTATTTCTCCGTTTTCGTTTTCGTCAAAATCCCTCCCCCTATCATGCGCGAGGATGCGATTTCATCGCTATTTTGCCCTCGCTAAAACGGCGCCGTTTCATATAATCCCAGTAGTAGTAGCAGCTTAGTACTTGTTAATTTAGTTACATTCTTTGATACTTTAATTTGTTAATTTCTTTTAGGTTATGTAACTGATTAGGTTTTTTTTTCTCTGTTGTAGTTGCAGTAATTTGATTGTATAACTAGTTTCTAGCTTTACGCTTCATTTTATTTATCCTTTGGTGATTTTGTGCAATGATATTTATTTATTATTAATTTTGAATTTGGACTGTTGTTTTTTTAGTTAAGTGCTTATCTAGTTTGGAGGCACAATGAGATTGGAGAAATGCTGGTTTTGTTCTTCAACTGTATACCCTGGACATGGGATCCAATTTGTTCGCAATGATGCAAAGGTAATTTTAATTTTACACAGTATCTTTGGAACTCTTTATGATTTTGTTCACTTCATGTCTTCTATTAAAATCATTTGACTAAGTGTGGTATCAAATCAGAAGCGCACACACATAATTACAAATAGGAGTTTATTCAATTCAAACTTATAAGAATTGGAAATAGAAAATTTTGCTAAATAATGTGCCGGTTGATTAGCAACATATACAATATGAGAAACTTGTATCCTTTGTGTTGGAATTTCTGCCTTAGTTGTGGTCCGCCCCCTAGTCGCATCAATTGCGGCACTTTGGCTTGCCTTAATTGCAGCCACTAACACCTTCATTGTGTTGGATTTGAAGGGGTGGATTTAGTCCCACATTGCTAAGAGATATATGACATGTGTTGTGTTTATAAGTGGGTGCAATCCTCACCTTACAAGCCGGTTTTGTAGGGATGAGTTAGGGCTAACCCAAATTCTGAGACTTCGAAAGCTAGTAAACAAATTGAGTCAATCCTCAACAATGGAGCGTATATAAGTGTGTTGCTGATCCGAGATGGCATTGATTATGGTCATAGAATAACTGCAATCAAGTTTAAGAAGAGCAGATCCTTTGCAAATTGTAAAATGGTTTTTAAGGGCAGATCTGAGTCATTTTGCAGCTGTAGCTGTTTTCATCAGCTGCAGGTTTCCATAACAGAACCAAATCTGTCTCTAATTACTGCAGAGAGACCCTAGCTTACCTCCTTGTTCAGCCTTGCTGCACAACACTTAATTTGCAGCAGCCCACATACAAGTTCCCCCAACACACATTAAAAACAGGGGCTGTCAGAACCCGCAAATCATCTTGATTCTTGAGAGTCTGCGTTAGTTAGTTGAGCTGATAAATGCACCAGCCCAAAGGAGAGTGGCCCCAATGCACATTAGAAATAGGGGCTGTCAGAACACGCATATCATTTTGACAGTCTGCATTAGTTAGTTGAGCTGATAAATGCATCGATGGAAGAATGAGCTAGCCCCACCACTGCTAAATATCCTTTTATTACAAGCTTATTGTTTGGATTTTTGACATCCAATTTTTTGTGCAGATTTTTCGGTTTTGTAGATCAAAATGCCACAAGAACTTTAAAATGAAGAGGAATCCTCGTAAAGTAAAATGGACCAAGGCATATAGGCGCGTGCATGGGAAGGATATGACACAGGTTATTATCTTTGAAACTACATATCTGTATAATTTGATAGTCTAGGGTTTGAACATATTTCTGAACTGTTATCTTATTTTAGGATTCAACCTTTGAGTTTGAGAGAAAGCGAAACAGGCCTGAGAGATATGACAGGAATCTTGCTGTTGATGTACTCAAGGCCATTCCTAAGATTGATAAAATCAGAGTTAGCAGGGAGGAGAGACACCATAAGAACAGGTCTTTCTTTGACTTCTACTTGTATTGTCTACATGTCTTTTGAAAAGCTTTGCAATTAATTGCAAGGGGTTTTCTTTTGGAGAAATGTTTTATTCACACAATTTTTGGCATCGACTATGTAAAATTTATCATGCTTTATTTATACGGTGTCAGTCAACTAAGCTGTCTGGTTTTAGTGTGTCAAAACAACTCCATTTCTTTTGGTTTGCGCTGACAATTTGTAAAAACTTCAATAGGATGAAAGGCAACAAGGCGAAAGTGCAGAAGGAGGCAGAGAAGGAGTACGAGCAGAGCATCCATATGGTCAAAGCTCCTTCCTCATTACAACAAGAGAAGATCAAAGTCAAGGTTTCCCAGCAACAGTCAGAAGAGAATCCTCTCATGGAAGAGTGATTCTATCAATGTTCGAACTTTTGTTTTTTTGTTTTGTTTTCAGTTCAACATTTATGGCTATATTAGTTTTCTGCATAAGGCCCAAGTTTCCTGTTGTCTTGTGATCATTAATTTTATTTGAGTTGAATGTTGTGGCTTTTGCACAAAATTTTGGGTGAATGTTTGGTGTAATGTCTCTTAAGACAGTGGTTCTGTTGTGAGATAGGGAACAGTTCTAAAGAAGTTTTGAAATATGTTGCTTAAATTCTTTGACATAGCATATTTAATCTTTTTCAGTATAAACTGAAAATTCCAGGTTCTGTTTACTCTTTGAAAATGTTTCGTTTAGATTTCTAAAAATCTTTCAATGGAGAGAAGATGAAATGTTAGTTAGAAATGACTAATTTTTGAAAATAATTTAACATTATTTTGTTATTTTACAAAAATGCACAACTGTTTTATTTAGACTGCAACCAAGACCACTAGTTAAATTGCAAGAAAGCTATTGTTTGTGATTAGTGGCATCAAATAATTTTTTTATTGCTAATCTAAAGGGGTTGAATCTCCGACTTTGTGGTTAACAGCAACTCATAATAACAAGAAGAACATGTAGTGGTTGCTAAAATTTTAATAAAACAATACAATGGAGGAATTTTTACATTTAGAAATGTGATAACACTTGGAAGTAATGAAGTACAAGAATAAAAAAGAAAGCTCTAGAAAGGACTAGGCTCAGAGGGAGAATATATCCAATTTCAATCTTCTAAATTCCACAATAATGATTTCCAATCATTTGCTATTTAAACAAAGTCAGTGATGTACTTTTTGTGAGGAGCCCTTATCTTCATACCACACTTAGACTCCTGATTTTGAGGATCATGTTCTATCTGTCCAATTGCCTCATGAGAATCACTTATTTTGTTAGCCTTTTTATCCTTATTCATAATATTATTTCCCCATTAAAATTAACCTTGTCCTCAAGGTTAAAGGTGGGATAATTGTATGAAAAGTCTAACCAATTTTCCCAAGTAGCCTCTGATGCCTGTAAGTTAAGCCACTGAACTCGCACTTCTGGCACTTACTTGTCCTGTTGGAGCAGCACACTTGACTCCAAAATGGTGTCAAGACATAGTATGAGGCCAGTGTCATTAGTAAGTAGGGGCAATGGTAAATATTGGATAGAATGGTTGCCTTTGCATAATTTCAAATTGACAATGTGAAAAACCGTATGGATTTTAGTCGAAAGGTGGAAGCAAAACCATGTAAGCCACAATACCAACATATCAAAATAAGATAAGCCTAATTTAAGGTTTTGACGTAAGGACAACGAATGTTGTTTGAAGTTTTACCAATTCCATATATCCTACTTGATTTTCAATAGATGTTCTCTTGGAATCAACATAGTGCTTCATAATTTGTTGAGATCGATGTAGATTGGCCTTGAGAAATTTCAATGTTTGATCCCTCTAAGTCATAAGGTCCTAAAGTGAAGTGGAGTCAGTAGCCGCTGTATCATATGTGAGCAACAAGGGAGAATCTCTGCCTTACACATTTTTGAATGGTGTCACGCCAGTGTTGCATTGGAAAGATGAGTTATATCAATACTCAGTCAAGTCAAACTACTTTTATCATTTCTGAGATACTGGTTTATTGAAGCACTGTAAATATATTTTCAAGCATATGTTAACAATTTCTGATTGACCATAAGATTATGTTAACAATTTCTAATTGACCATCAGATTGAGGGTGGTGTTCCGTTCGAGAATCATAAATGGAGAGAGTTGGGTAACTATTGATTTTGAATAGTGGCTCTGATCTCTTTTACGACAGCGCGGGGTAGAACGATATGGTTGGCACTCCAACGTCCAAGTATGTTCAAGATTCAAGACGAGTATAATGAAATTAGAGATAAAAGATTGTGTACCTTGCTCTTTGCATGTGAACTACTTTTATATTTTAGGTCGAGTTGAATAGATTTGAGATGAATTGAGCCTTAGTTATTTGGGCCTTTGGCCGGTCCATAACAGTTACCCCTAAGACTTTGCTGGGAACTAAAGGAGCCAGGGGAAGTCTTAAGTATCATTGACCGACCTCCATGTCGTAGTCTGGTGTGGAATAAAACTGAATCGCTTGGGATCAATTTTCTAAAGAAGTAATGGGGAACAAGCGCATTTAATATGTTCCTATTGTATCCTAAAATTTTCCCTCTCTTTTTCTTCAAGACATTCTCCTAGGACTCTCAAATACTCAAGGTTGCTCAAGAATTGATCAGACAAATTCTCCTCCTAGGCAATGGGTTAACAACTAGGGTTTCATTTTTCTCAAGGAAGTTTGGATTTCCAAGGCCTCAAATTGAGTTCACGGGTTCTTATATGTCTCCAAGAATGCTCATACCAAGTTTCATGCCTTGCATCACAAGTTTGCTCAGTCAATTGCTCAGATGACTGAAAATCAACTGTATTGGGTAAAAAGTCAATTGTGGTCAACATACAGTCAAACCTCAGGATTTTTGGTCAACATCAATACATTGAAATCATATTCATCATTTGATCAAGGGTTTATCATGATTCATCAAGAAGACTCTCAAATCATCAAAAGTCAAAAGTTGCCAAATTAGGGTTTTCATTAGGAGAAGTCAACTGAACTTTGACCAAGCATAACTTTCACATGCTTCATCATATTTTCCTCAACCAACGCTCATTTGGAAGGAAATTCAATTATCTATAACTTTGTCTCTCTAAGCTCAAGTCCAAAAAATGCTTCATTTGAGAGACATGGACCAATATATTATAGGTCATTTTAAAAGTCAACAAAAGAACACTTTTTGTCAAGGAAACTTACATCAAGATAAAGTCTTCAAATACAAAAGTGGTCAATATAGAGATTGTAGAGGACACCTTGGACTTTCTAAAAAGTCCAAGATCACCTTCATATGATGAGAATTGAGAGAGTTATGACCAGTGCAAGTTGGGAATTTTTGAGCAAATGCATAAAGTTCAAATTGAGCAAACTTGATATTTTGCGATATTGGGCTATTATTTTAGAGTCCAAGCATATACAACACTCTTATGCACCTCAAGACTTGTTCATACACTTCCCTTTAGTTTATTATATTTTATTTTTG